TTAACAAAGTTTGAGCGAATACATAATTAGCAAAAAAAAAGTTGAAATAAAGTGATTAAACAAAAATTATTACAAATATCGTAAATAACAAATGCATATATAGAGATATTTTTTGGAGGAGGTCTTCACAATTTGAAATCAATCGAACACACAGTGCTCGTATACACATGTGCCATCTATCGTAGGATAAATGTACTTCGCAGGAGTGTATTAAAAAACTCTCCAAAGTTTCATGGCAATTGTACTATGCCAGAAACCTTCGCGGGAGTATATTAAACAACTTCCCAAAATTTCATGGCAATTGGATAAACAGTGTGGTAATGCATGAAGGACAGACACACACACACACATTCATTTTTATATATATAGATAATGGAGTAAGTTGATAAATAATTATTTTGAAAAACTTTAATATGGCAGAAGAAAGTTCAAAGATCTCACTATAATTTATAAATTGTATCTTTAAACTAAGTATACCAATCAAAACCTTGACAATCCAAAAAATAATTTAATATAAATTCATCAAACATTTTCAATCTTACAAAAGATCTGCTTCAGGTCAACAACTTGTTTAAGATTGAAAATGTTTGTCAAATTTACATTAAATATTTAAAATTAATTTTCTTACCTACAATCTGTGCTCCACCTAATGTCTGAACTGTTTGAATGGGACTAAGTGGTGCCATTTGCTGGGGTTGGGTAATTGTTGGAATAGCATTTGTGGCAATGACACTACCTGTTGGTGTTAAACTTAAGCCTTGTATGGCTGCTGTTCCAGCTAACAGTGGTTGTCCAGGTGCACCACCTTGCATTTGTACACCCTGCAATCCAGCTACTGTAGGAAGCCCAGTTACTTGAATGATATTTGGTGATCTTAAACCTGTCAAGCCTGAAACATTTATGGCTGAAGGCCACCACGTGGCTGCATTGCTCTGGGCAATAAGTTGTCCCACTTGTCCCTGCACCACTTGGCCAGTAGGTAACTGAAGATTAGTAACAGTTACTGGTTGTCCAATGCCAGCTGTTGTGCTGGCATTGGAGTTAGAAGTAGCAGCTGTCTGAGACTGTGATGAAACTGCACTTGCTGCATCTGATGATGTTACTGGAGCAGACGCCATTACTGGAGCAACAGCTGTAGTAGTCCATGTAGTATTTGTAGCAGCAGCTGGTTGAGACACTGTAGCTTGAGTCATCTGAATAGGAGTGGCTACTTGTATTTGTCCTTGACCAGTTAACTAAAACAAAATGCAAAAATCAATATTTGCAAAAACACATTTTTATACATAGTTTACTCAAAAAATTTCTTAGGTTTCTAAATATTATATTAAAATAACTAGAATACTAACTTATTACTTCAAACAATATTCTCATCGCTCTAATGTCTATTTCTAATACCAAATTACTTAATATCTAATATTCTCATCTTCAGAATAGACATATTTTTTAATTACTTTAAGTTGTGAACTCAAATTCCAAGAAATTGATTCAAACTCCTTTTTTAAACATAGTGCAAGAATCATTATAGTTTTCATTCAAAAAATATTGCAGTAGGTTAAGTGTGCAAAAAGTAAAATATAACTTAGATTGCCAGATAATGTAACAACTTATATATACAACATCAATAAGCCTGATAGTTATATTGAAGCCAAACAATTGCACGATTAAATCAGATTATATTACTGCTACTATTAATAATAAAATACAAAGCAATTTGGCATTAGTGCTAGACATTAGGCACTACTCATATTAAAGTTAATAATTATAATTAAATTATTAACTTTTAATTTTTTTAATTTATTTAATTTAAAATATATGCTCTCCACCTTTAAATTAGCAGTGTCTTGCCCTTCTTCATCATACTTTTCCTGTTAAATAGTCATGCTAGTTGTCTAACTGATTTCAGGAGAAGTTTTGAATTGAAATAGCATGACTTCCGGTTTATGTTAGAAGTTTGCATACAGTTAATCAGAGCCTCCTGCCCCTAAGTTTTCCATATCTGATTTCGTCTTTCATCTATCTAACTTGTTCTCAAGATTAAGGAAAGACAAATGGATGGATGGACGACAATGGGAATTTATAGAGCTGTAATTTTTTTTCAAATTGCATCCCAATTACTATTTACAGGTATACCTCGCCTTACGTCGGTAATTGGTTCCAGGAGAACGACATAAGTCGAATTTACTTGTCTCCGAATCTACTTGTCACTAGGCTAAACCATAAATTACCATTCCCGGTTCTGTATTTTATTTATTAATGCATTTTTAATAATATATGGTTAATAAGAATCTATTTTAAGCTTACAAACAAATAAATTTTAGTTTTTAATATAGTACAGAAAAAAGTAATCTAAATTTACGAATGCATGTACTGTAAATACAGTACATACTTGTAAATGTATATATTTTAATATGATTTTATGTGCTTTAAACGTTTTTCTAGTGATATTACGACTTCAATATTTGTGGCGGACAGACGTAAAGTCGAATAAAATGACTTAAACTTGATTTTTATTTTTCCATATACTTTTTTGACAAACAACGTATAATCGGGAACGACATAACTCGAAACGACGTAAGTCGAGGTATGCCTGTATTGAATTTAAAAAATTGTGGAAGAAAAGAATAAGCCTAGAGCAGGACTTGAATTCCACAACTATCGCTTACCATGCAGATGCATTGCCAGTAATGCTACTAGGACCTCCATTCAATCCTTTGCTTCCAGACATATTTAATTTAAATATAACCATACTAGTTACTCATGGCACCCATCAGCCTATAATCACCCATTATGGCACTGAGCTGGCTATCACTTTATCCCAGCATAGAATATATATTATATATATAAACATCTAAGCCTGATAGTTATATTTAATCTGGCAATTGTTTGGTTTTAATAACCATATTTTCAACAAATATTTATGGCCAAAAATTCATGAACAAAAACACTGAGTAGGTATGTTATTGTGGCACAAAATTCGTGAGTTTTGTCACAACAAATCAGGTCATTTTTCTAGAAATTGCTTCATGTAAAATGACACAAATGCTCAAATAATATTCTTTGTTGACAGTTTGGAAATATGAAGGAATTTGTAATGCACAATACAACAATGAAAGAAAACAGTCAGCATGACCTTGATTTTGAAAACTTTTTCACACCCAGTATTTGACAATATTTATAATTTTATTTCCAAAAATGTTCTCATGCATCTTGGAATGGAAAGTGTTGTCCAACTCTACACAATTTAATGCTAGTTCTTCACTTAGTGTGATTTTGAGGCAATTCAATCACCTTTGTCATTGCTCATACACAGTAGAATCACCTTCTAGTCACAATCACCATGAACTACTTTGGCGACAGAATACTGGGACAACATATATTTTTGTGTGGAAATTCTGTTGCCACCAGGCAACCATCTTAAATGGCTAGAAGCCATAGCCATTTACAACGCCAACCGAGAGACCACTGCATCAACCGAAAGGAGGAGCTTAATCTGTCGTTAGCCTGGCAGGCCCTCATAGATGCCGACCCATAATTATAGCTATCAGCACATGATCACGCATGCCCAGTGAAACGGATTTTGTCGAAATGACATTTGATTTTGTTTTAAATCTTTACGTTCCATTCTGAAGCATTCCAAACCTATTTGACCTGGAAAAGAACTTTGCAATAGTTCAAAAACGTTTGTCACCCACCGTATTTTTTATACCGGTAACAGGTTACAGAAGTGGGAAATATTACTTTTGAGAATGAGTATAACAGGGGCTGTTCACAGGGCTCAGCCTTTGGGCCACTTCTATAGTGTGTCCTTTTCAATGATATTTTGACCCAGGACTTCAGACAAGACAAAATTATTGCCTATGCGGATGACACACTCATGCTGTTAATGGGTAACTCTAGAGTAGAACTCAAAAGGAAAGGAAAGCAGGATATGTCAAAAATAAGCAAATGGGGAGAGAAAAAAGCTGATCTTCAATCCAGGAAAAATGACAGGAATTGTCAGGAACAAGCCAGGCACTCAAAACTTGTACAAGAGTGAACAAGAAGAGAGTACAAGAAGAGTGACAATTCGGATGGGTCAGAAAGTATAAAAATAGAGAAAAACATTAAATATTCAGTGATTACACTTGATTTTAAGTTTCTTTGGACCATACACATTAAAAACATTTGTAAGAAAACAGGGTTAATCTTTCAGTCTTTCTCTAAGGTTGCTAAAAGCAACTAGGGGCTTGACTCTCATGCTATGGACTCAATTTATAACATGATATTTATTACAATAATTATCTATACCTGCCCAGTTTCAGAAGAAGCCACTCACAAAATACATAATAAAAGGAAACTAATCTCCACCCAAAGGAAAGCACTACTGATTCTCACCAAAGGTTACAGAACGACTCCTACTAATAGCCTCCAGATAATCGCTAGAAAGGCTCCTCATGAACCTCAAAATCAAATACCATGCATTAAAATGGAAACTGAAACATAACAACAACGACATCACAATTGGAGATGAGAGACTTAAAGATTATTTTGAATGGAAGATCCCTTATGCTTTAAAATGTTTGTGAGGTGTTTTCGTAAAGATTAAATTCTTTATTGTTTGAACTTAGTTCGTGACAAAAGGGTTAAAGTACTATATAAAGTTAGATTTAGTACAATATAAATTAATGTAATAGATTAATACAAGATAATACAAAATAAGATACAATAATAATCATTTTTCTAAAAACGCGATAGATTAATTATCTCTTTCCAAGACCTAAATTCTATCAAATACTTTTTCTGCCAGCTTCAAATTTCACACAATGAAAGAATACATGTTCTGAACTTTTATACAATTAAATACTATTATTACTAGAAATTCTCATAGGATCTATTATTAGTCTGTACGTCAAAGTTATTACATTTTGACCATTTTTCCAGAATTGCAGTTTTACTTTGTATATTTTGTAAGGTATCAGCAAGAATTACAGAGTGTCAGCACACGTTAACAGATGTAAGTCAAGTCGATCAAAGACAGAAAATCCAGGTATGCCAGATTTAGCAAGCGGCGCTATCAGACCATTCACATACAAATTAAACAATAATGCGTTCAGAATTTTACTCTGCAATACTTCAATGTCAATACGAAATAAATCAGTCATTTTTGACTGATGTCGTTACTTTTGCAGTAAATTTCACTAAATCATTGAATGTGAGGTTTCCTCCATATTCATCTGAAAAAACATTACCTAATGTAAGAGCAAACGAAGATTTCGTCTCTTCATATTGCACGTTTACCAAAATATCGACTAATAGAAACTCTAGAAGACATCAACGGGATAGTTAAAAGAGTCGAATGGTCTCAGACCATGTCTGATAAGTCAGAAACCATTTACAACATAAAAGCAAATTTCTTGTGACACTATGACGAATTAATCACATCGACTTCTTTAATGGCACAGTGAGTTAAATTTTCTTTTCTACTTCCTAGCACTAAATTATGTAAACCAGCAATGCAATTGTATAAAAAAATTAATTACATGTTATCATTTTTATTCAAATACCGGACTTTATATTGTTCATCCTTGTCCTTTATTTTATCATGTTGTTTGTTATTATATACTACAAAGAAAACTGGATTTACACCACTTTGGTAATAAATGTTCTATTCGTGAGATATTAAAAGTGCGATTTTACGTTGTGAATTACATTATTTTACCTAAAATTTTTAACCTTTTTCTCTATCAGTTTCGGTAGTAGAATATCTACTTTTAACATCCACCAATGCTGAATCTACGTTTTTCTTTCAAGCTTGATTTCTATCTAAACTCTCAAAGAGTACTTGTAATATAAAAATTGAATTAGCTTGTACATGAAAGTCAAATTTCTTCATTAACATCAGTTTCATTTTTTTGGCACTTACATGAGTCAAGATCAACTGTTTCCTTGTCTTACCTCAAGCATTTTCCTCGCTTCCAATTCTTTTTCTTACGTTTCCTTGTGATCCGTCCTGATATTATGGGTAAAAAGTTTACTTTTTTTGAGCCTGAAACTCTGACATTTTTTATGAAGAAAGCAAAAATAAGTCAAATCACAAGAAAGAAAAGAATTTCACGGTAACCGGCATTGATACGGTAGCTGTTAGCGTGAAATATTTTGGTGAAATTTGCAAGTGAATCTAATTTTTTGGAACAAAACCTTACATATGATATTACTATATAAATTGTTATTATTGCATTAAGGTATTTATATATAT